CTAAGACAATCCTTATTTTACTTGAGGAAATTGAAACCTAGAGAAGTTAAGTGACATCTAAAATCATACAGCAAATTTGTGACTGAGCCAGGGCTAGCAAATGAGCTTCAAGACTCCTATTTCTCTATATTTTATTATACTACACTCCAGATGTAGGAAATAGAGAAGAGTATTTTATTTAAAATGAAATAAGTATCCTCAAAAGCTTGAAGGTAGAAAAGAACAGGGAATTAGCCTAAGTAGTTTGGAGAGTTTTTATTTGTTAATAGTATAAGATACTGTCCGTAAAATACAGAGAAGGTTTGGATTTGCAAAATAAAATGTTTCTTTTTTTCGCTGTGATGATACTGCATGAGAACGCCCTCAAATCCGTCTGTGGCTTAAAACAGCCAGTCTGTGGGCCGGCGAGCCACTGTGGCATCTCTGCCTCGGACGGTAGGGTAGGTGCGCTGGAGTCGGCTTGCTCCACAGCTCCTGAGAGCTGAGCGTGGCATCTCTTTCCAGCTCCACAGCCCGTGACACCACCTCGATAGCTTGAATCAGCCATGGCGAGCAATCAGAAAATGCTGTAAGCGAGCAAATGATACAAACCAGGGCAGCTTTTCCTGGGAGAGGCGATCGTTAACTGTTTCCACTGCCCGGCAGGGGTGGGGAACCTGCGGCCTCAAGGCCACATGTGGCCTTCCGGATCCCCGCGTGCGGCCCCTCGACGAAATCCGAACTCCGCAGAACAAATCCCTTTATTGAAAGGACTTGTTCTGTAAAATTTGGATTCAGTCAAAAGGCCTCACTCAAGGATCCAGAAGGCCACATGTGGCCCCAAGGCTGCAGGTTCCCCACTGGGGCAAGCCATTCTCACAACGGAGACTCAAAGCTCAAGAGGTGAGGGGAAACACATGCCGCCTCTCACAGCCTCTGCTCAGACTGGCACGCGGCCATTCACACACACACTTCTTGGCAAAGCAAGTCCTGTGGCTGAGCTCAAACTCAATGGGCCAGAGAAATACATTCTACCTACAGGGAAGCCATATTCAGAGGGGAAGTGAATAATGGTGAGTATATAATCCAGCCTGCTCAGCACAGTAACAGGGACCCACTACAGGGTCTTCAGCTGGGTCAGGTCCAGCAGTAATAGTTAGGTAACAGGCACTAGCAGGACCATAGCAGCTGTTCAAATATCAAAGTACCCCTGTATCAGCTGGTGTCCAGTCACTGCTCTGAGCCCTTCAAGTACTCCCTCCCCCATCTTCCCAAGCCCTGAGAAGCCCTGGTAGGCTCAGTGGAGTAATAATCTATTTCATGGGATGCAGTATCATACAGACAGGACTAAGAGCATAGGCTCTACCTGGGTTCACATCCTGGCTCCTTATGTGCTAACTATGTGATGCTGGGCACCTTATTTAAACCCTCTGTCTCTTCGTTTTTCTTCTTCTGTATAGGGGAAATAATGGTATATACATCACCGGGTTGGAAGAATTAAGTTCATTAATATAACTGAAATACTTCAAGCAGTGCCTGGCACATCATAAACTTTATACCAGTATTTACTATTAAGAATAATAGTATGAGCAATTAGGCTGGACACGGTGGCTCACACCTGTAATCCCAGCACTTTGGGAGGCCAAGGCGGGATAATCACTTGAGGCTAGGAGTTCAAGACCAGCCTAGGCAACATAGCGAGACCCCGTCTCTACAAAAAATATAAAAATTAGCCAGGCACGGTAGCGTGTGCTTGAGGCTGAGGCAGGAGGATCGCTTGAGCTCAGGAGTTTGAGGTTGCTGTGAGCTATGATGATGCCACTGCACTCTAGCACAGGCAACAGAGCAAGATCCTGTCTTTAAAAAAAAAGAAAAGAAAAGAATAGTACAAGCAATTAATTACTATCCATTAGACTGATAAAATGCATTCACACAAAACAATAATACATGTATGGTAAGAATATGAACGAAAAGATATATAAAGCCTTTAGAATCATTGCCTATGTAGGGAATGGTGACCAAAGGGAATAAATACATTAAAACACTGATCACCAAGGTCTATTCCCAGAGATTCTGATTGTTTTGGTAGGGAATAGGGCTCATCTGGCATGTGGCCTGCGAATCTGTTTTTCCAGAAGCAACGCAGGGGACTGTGATGCACAGATGGGTCTGGGACTCACTGGGTGGCAGAGGGGCATGTTCCTTGTGGAACTCGACACACTTGAGTTCACATTCCAGCCCTGCCACTTATCACAGTTTCTTGGACAAGTTATTTAATCCCCTCGACTTCCATTTCTTCATCACTAAAAAAGGGATACTACTACTATATAGCTGGGACTTTGCAATTTATGACTGTGAGAACTAAAACTCAAACTCACTTGAACAAAAGAAAATGAAAATGTATTGGTGCTCAAGAGCGAAACACAGGAAAACAGCTATTGTGCTAGCTCGGGGATATTTGGGTCCCTGCACTCCAGCTTTCCAGGAGTGCATTTGTGTGTGCCTGTTTGTCTCCACATCCTCCCTGCCTCCACCTTGCCCCATCTCTATGTGTCTCTGTTTGGTTTTATCCTCTCCTGCAAAGGACAGGCTATTTCCATGTGGCAGGGATCATGACCTAGAGACCTCAGAGTCTGATTCTTCCAGATCCACAACCTAGAGACGCAAGATAGGGTTACGACTATCAACTTCAGCAGAAATATCCAGGAAAGGCCCTCGTTGGCTTGGCTTTGCTCCTGATGGCTGGGACCAGGGATGTTGTGGCACCAAAAGTATGTGATAGGAGTGTGCGTGGAGACGGGGGATGGGAGGAGTGCTGAACATATCAAGTGTAGCCGCCATAGCCCTATAATTTTATGGGCACTAAGGGAGATGCTCTATGTGAAAACGTGTGGTGCTTGCTTGCAGATAGTGGACACTCAAATATTGGTTCCCTTCCTTTTCTTCTCTTTGTGATTTGAATGCAGGGAAGGATTTTTAAATATGGTGATCTAAAATATAATTCTTATTTCAACTTCTTGGCTATTGGAACAAATAAATCAGCTGCTGCTCTGTGGATCATCTACGCTTGCCCACTCCTTCACGTAACCGAAGAAAATAACAAATTACCACATTTAGTGATCTGTGGATTTAATTCTCTGGCTTAATTTATCTGTTGTTACTACACCGCTTTTTAGGACTATAAATATAGTAGTAGAAATATAGTAGCAAAGAAATTCTTAAGATTTTGCACTCATTAGTTTTGAGAAATCTTTCAGAGTTGATGTTTTATTGTATTGTGTTTTGCAGATTTAGTGGAAAGAACCCTGAAAACCTAGGTATAATTCAGTTCATCATAGGCAGGCCACTTGACTTTTTAGAAATGTATTTTTCTCATTTATTTAAAAAAAATGATGCTAACATCATCTGCCCTGCCCATCTCCTAGGGTTGTTGTGAGGACCAATATTAGGTTATATATGTAAAATCGCTTTGTAACATGTAAAGATATAAAGTGAGAATTAACAGAAAGCCTTTGTTTCTTCAAATAAGCTCTTTAAAAAGCAAAGAAGAAAAGTTTCCAGGCTGGTTTATGTTCTTACATACTCTGGTATTATCTCAAATGTCTTTGAATAAAATATCCATGTGGCATAACTTTTTTCCTTTGATCTATGAAATGTAGTTTATTGATAGTAATCAATTTTCTAATGTTATATTAGTCTTTTTTAATTTCAGAAGATTATGGGGGCACAACCATTTTGGTTATATATATGGCCTTTGCCTCGCCCAAGCCCGAGCTACAGGCGTACCCTTCCCCCATACAGTGCTCTCCGCACCCATTAGTTGTGAGTTTACCCACCCCCTCCACCTGACTGGCACCTGATGAATATTATTACTTCCATGTGAGCACCTTAGTGTTGATCAGTTAGTACCAATTTGGTGGCGAGTACGTGCGGTGCTTGTTTTTCCATTCTTGTGATACTTCACTTCGAAGGCATAATTTAAGCTTTCTCTCTAACAGAACCAGAACGTTGTGTGCCTGTGAACATTCCAACCCAGTCATTGCTGCAGGATGTTGCAGGACAAGCAAGAAAACAAAAAGTGAAGTTGCCTTATTATTTGACGAGTTCCAAGCCCAGGTCTCGACCTCTCACAAAGGTAAAACAGACATGGGAACAAGTTTCCCAGAGCCAGTCAACACTTTATGTAATTCTGACTCCCTGAAGTTCTTAGTTCCAGCCACTGTGTACTGCTCTTTACTGTGTCTGCCGTCTCACCACGAAGGCCGTTGAGTCACACACATACACTAAGGCAGTGCTTTGCTGGAGCCTGCTCACACAGGCTCATGGGAGACACTTCATGAGCCCGTTGTTGAACCACCGATAGCTTGAAATCAGCCATGCTGGGAGGACTTGCACAACAAAATTGGTAAATGCTACTAATCAAAATTCTTTTCAAAGAGCCAGTGTGCCAGTACACTACTTACTGGCTAAAGAGGGATCACTGGCCACCGTTCTCATGGCTCACAGGATAAAATACAACGCTTAACATGAGTACAGGGCATGGCCCTGTTTGCTTCTTTACCTTCACCTTGACTCAATTCAGCTGTTTCTCTTCAGTCAAGAGCACCAAGCTCCTTTCTTGCTCAGAGGCTCGGAGATTAAGATTCCACCTAGCTCTGCTGGGAAACCTTACAAGCCTACCAGTCAAGTTTTGATTATGATCTCATTTTTCTTCCATGGCGCACTGTGTTCAAGTCCATCATAGAATGTATTGCAATGTGTATAACTGATTTGTGATTGCAGTGTTCTTCTCAAACTTTAATGTGCATATGAATTACCTGGGGATCTTCTTAAAATGCAGATTCTGACTCACTAGTTCTCTCGGGGGCCCTGAGACTCTACAGTTCTAACCAACTCCCAGGTAATGTCAGTGCTGCCTCTGGGGAATAATATGGGCATAAAGTAAAGGTTCTCAAAGTGTGGTTATCTGACTAGCAGCATTGGCAACATTGAGAACTTGTGATAAATGCAAATTCTTCTGTGCGACCCCAGACCTATAGAATGAAAAGTTCTGGGGGTAGAGTCAGCAATCTCTGTCTTAATAAGTCCTCCAGGAGATTCTGATGAAAGCTAAACTTTGATAACCACTGGCCACATTTCAGTATTAGGCATCCTTGAGTTTGAAATTTTGTTCTGTCATTTGCCACTTAAGCAAATTATCTTTCTTCCAACTCTCTGAACTTGAGCTTCTTTGTCCTTAAAACAAAGCCTAAAATACTTCCTCACAGGGCTGTTGTAAAGATTATGAGACTGTGAATGTTCCTTTTCTTCCCCAACCAACCAGTTATTTTCCTCTGGTGACAGGAACTTTTTGTTATCTTGGAAACTCGAAATAAAACCATTTTATTTTATTAATTTTTCCTTAATGCAAAGGTGCAAGATTCTGTTGGAGGAAAAGTGAACACATCCTCTGTTGCCTCTGCTGCCATTAATAATGCAAACTCATCCCCTTTTGGGTTTCATCTTCTCCCATCATCAGTGAAGTTTGGAGTGCTTAAAGAAGGACACACCTACGCAACTGTTGTAAAGCTCAAGAATGTTGGCGTGGACTTCTGCAGGTGAGGCCAAGGCACAGATGTCTGCTCAGGTTACGTTTCCCTACTCTGCAGCTTGTCTTTGGCCACCTACATCAGTGAATGTTTATTGAATTGAACTGTAATTACACCTTAAATCTTCACAACATTCATTTAATCATTTGCACACTAATTTATCCATTAATTTATTTATTCATTCTTCAACAAATCAGTGTTTACTGAGCCCCAGTTATGTGGTAGGTACTTCCGTGCCCTTCCATTATTCATACTTTGGTAAAGGCAACTTGTGTCCTGATCTACATTAGCAAAAAACAAGGGGAGGTGGTACAAGTGCTACAATAACTAATACATAAAACTTGAAAGTCTCTTTCTCCAATCCACCAACTATAATAATACCAGCTGATGTTTGTTTGCATTTTATCATCTGAAAATGATCATAAAATTTAATTATTTCTTCATAATTGAGGCAAAGACCTTAGACACTAATATAAAAACAGAAACTGAGGGCATGGTGCTCGCTCCTGTAATTCGAGCACTTTGGGAGGCTGAGGCAGGAGGATTGCTTCAGGCCAGGAGTTAGAGACCAGCCTGGGCAATATGGTGAGCCTTGTCTCTGCAAAAAATGAAAAAAAAATTAGCTGGGCGTGGTGGTGCATGCCCATAGTCCCAGTTACTTAGGAGGCTGAGGCAGGAGAATTGCTTGAGCTCAGGAGTTTGAGGTTCCAATGAGCTATCATGATGCCACTACATTCTAAGCTGAGTGACAGAGTGAGACCCCTGTCTCCCCCAAAAATACGGGAAGGGGAAATTGAATGTCTTGTTTCTTGTTTTAAATCTTGTAGTAGAGAGTGAGGCTAGACCTCAGATCTCCTCAGTACCGCCACATGGCAGAGGTACCTCGCTTTATTAACACAGGTGTGGTCTCCAGTTTCATGTGGGATTTCAGTCCTTTCCATTGGGTCAATATACCATATATCTATACCAAGACCATTGGCAGTTACAAAATGTCCACTACTTTATTTCGAATTAAACATAAGCATAATGTGGGTTTTTTTCCCCATAACAATGGAATAAATGTTTATTTCAATTGTAGAGTTATTCTCAGTGTAAGTGGCAAGTCTTTCAAGAATGTCTGTGATTCTGAGCCAGGCATAGTGGGATTCTGGACTCAGCATTGGAAATCAGATGGAGCAAAATGACAGGAGCATCCAATTTGAAAGATCTCTGTCCCATTTTAGCTGAGGCAAATCCCTAACTTCAGGAATAATGTTTCCTTCCTCAGAAAAAACCTGATGAGGGACTCAGGCCACCAGATCATACATTATTGTTTTTTAGGTTGTTGCCAACAAAGTGGGTGGGGAGAAATAGTCAATCTAATAAATCTCACTCATGCGGATCCTGTCTCTCCAGCATAGAGTTTTCGTTTTAGAGATTTCACCCCTCAGCTTGTTAAATTCAGCCAGGACAGGGCAGACAGCAAAGTCGATGGTGGAAGGAGCAGGGTTGGGGGCAGAATGGAGGTAGGCTTTCCTTGGCATTTTAATTTACTCCAGGTCTTTAACCTTCAGGCGGAACCCACAAACCACAGGAAGGGAAAGAGATCAATAAGCACCATGTGTGAGCCCAGAGCTTTTCAAGTTCTTCGACATTTTCTGAGCCCTTTCTGTTTCTCCTTTCCTCAAGCACGCAAGCCCCATACCAAGACAGAGTGAGGCTGGCTCCCATGCTCCACTGCTTTCCAAAAGAGCCTTTATTCTTCGGCTTAACGATCTGGCTGCCAGCATTTACGTTCACGCTGGCGGCTACGCTGAAATGCACACACCGGCCAAACACTCCCACTGCCCAGGCCTGGGCTGCTCGTCAGCAACCAGTAACGAAGAGTTGAACTCAGGTTGGAGTCTGTTTTACGCTGATGAAAACTGTTGGAAAGGCAGTTGTGAAACGGACCCCAGATTCTTCTCCCAATTGAATGTTAAGGTTGTTTTTCTAAAGATATGGACTCCTGGCTCCTGTGTAGCAAATATTACCACCACCATGATTTTATAACATCCCAGCTCATTCATTGCTTATGTTTTTCATTATGGCATAAATTTATTTTCATCTTTCTGCCTGGTAGGTTTAGGGTGAAGCAGCCCCCACCCAGCACAGGACTGAAAGTCACTTACAAACATGGGCCTGTAAGTCCTATGTGTTATCTGTTGTGTGTGTTTGTGTGTGCACAAGTAAATGTGTATGTATTTCCAGTAAAATGGTCTTTTAAATCATTCTGCTCATTCAGTTTGAACTATGCATAAGTCTAATTCTTCTGGTATTATAAGCAAAAGCTTCCTGATATTGGTACAATATGCGGCTTGATGCCACTTGCTTCATAGAGTACCCATGAGACAGATCCTATGTGTAAAGAGAGTTAAACTTCTAGCTATGGAGACATTTCTGAAGTTCACCTCATTTGTCCCAATAGTACAGTTATGTACTGTTGTATGAAAACTACCTTTTAAAAAATTAAATCCTTAGGCAAAGTGAAAAATCTTTTGGAAAAATAATTATTCCATTCTTTATATTTTATGCAAATCTGGTCTGCTTCCTTGGTATTTGCCAGGAAATATTATTTAATGCCATATTAAGATATAATAGTATAATTAAATTCATCAGCTGCCTCGTTTCTTCAAAGATCTCTGAAAATACAAATTTAAAAATGTCAACCTGTTCTGACTTTCTTAGATACATGTACAAAAATTGGGTGTTTAGTAAAATATATTAATAGTATATTCCCGTTTACTTTATATTACAATTTCAGAAATAAAGTATGATATAAACAAAAGTTCATCTCAAAATATAATAAAATCACACTAGTAAGTCTCGATCAGTGCATCATTTGGCTGCTTTAACACCCCTTTTATTTCACTCAGCAAACTTTGGGTTCCTCCCATATGCCACTGACAGCGCCAGGGTACAGAGGGTGTTAGAAATGAGTAAGACACATGAGGAGTTTACAGAGCCAGGCACGTAGCAGGTCCTCAAGAGATGTGTGAGTGAGTGACAGAATGAGTGAGGAAGTCTGATGGACACATAACCCAGTGAACAAGGGGAACCAGTCCCGCGACAAGCACTCAGGGCTCCCTGGGTCTGAAGCTGTCAAAGCAGGCACAGTTGTTATATGCTCACACAGAAGGGTCAGTTTGGTACAGTGCAAAGTCACTTGGCTTCTTGTCGAGACTATACCACTGCACAGTTCAGCGATGTTGGTAGTTAATGCTCTGAGCCTTGTTTTTCTCATCTGTAAAGAGGGAGTTCAGACTGGATGATTTCTTAGCCCCTTCTAAGCTCTAATATTTTATAATCTATAGAAAAAGTAGTACACAGGCTGAAACTCCAAACAGAAATACATTTTGCGATTAAATCTACTAATTTATGAGAACTTCTCTGAAATAATTCATCACTGTCCTGTCAACATTTCAGAACCTTCACAACATAAGGCAAAAGACAAAAATCAAAGCAAATACTTCTTCCATTGTTCTGGCAAGTTAGCAAATCTCATTTTAATTTAAAGTAGGGATTATGTCAAAAGCCAAAATGACTGTTGGATCAACCTTTATAGGCACTAAAAACCCAGCATGTATTCTTTGAAGCTCACTCTATACTGTAAGTTTTTTTAGGTTTTTTTTTTTTTTTTTTTTCAGTTTTTGATGGTAGGTTTTGGCTCTGGCAAAAAATAGCATCTGTGGACTTCTCCATATGTAAATCTAACCAGTTTTCAGCCTGGTTAGCTGCCAATGCTAAATGAGTATGCCCAAAGCCTGGGTAAACCTGTATGATGGCAGTATTCCAGCTCTCCTCGTGCTGAATTTCATCATCACCCAGCCCTGCTCTGTTTGCTGGGCTCGGAGGGCTAAGGGTCTGATTCTCAGAAACAGAGCCGCTGGATACCCTCCAGTATGCATACCTTCACAAGCACATTGTTGAAAAAATTGAAACATTTCTCATTTATATTATTTATAAAACTATATTGAAGAAAAAAATTCCATTTGTATCTAATTGCTTCTCATGTGGTAGTTTCTGACTTTTTTTTTTCCAGATAACTGTTCCCAAGTCTGCTTTTTAACCCACCTCCTGGAGAGGCAACTTAGAAACATAAACAGCTCTTTCTTTCCTGGCTAGTGTTCTTTTCAAGGAACAAGGCAAGAAGCCCGTACCTTGCTGTGTTCCTTCTTCATTGTATATCAGGTTTCTTCTTTGTTGGTACAATCCTCTTCCATGAGCTTTCAGACCCAAGCGGTTTGGCATTTAAACTAATTTTGTCTCCCCCTGCTGGCTTTATCACTTTACGCATCCTGCATTAGGAATAGACCAAGGAGCAGGGCAGGGAAGTTATGGGATTCACCAGTCTCTTAGATTAATTTTAAGATTAAATTTATATTTAATCAGTAGGAATTCACTATGGACGTTCAAAAAGTAGCAAATTGCAGAAATTTGCCTTCAGTGCCATTTCTAATACATTGGCATTTAATTTCCTATGTTCTTTCCCAAATAGCACCTAGGTTGCCCCTTCAATAATATATCCTGGGTCCCATTTACTTAATGAAATTCTACCTAACTATGAAGTAATTCTGCTAAATGCTTATGACAGCTACCATTTATTAGTGCTAAATTTATAAACGAGAAAACCAAAAGTAAGGGAGTTTAAGTAACTTGCCCAAATTAGTGTTGCAGTCAAGGTTTGAACTCAGATATGTCTGATCCTAAAGCTACCTTGCATCTTGTAGGTGGCACCCGGTTTGCAGGCAGAACTGAAGGTGGAGTTATTCGCGATGGCTGTTGGGGAAGATGGGGCCAAGGGAGTGACACACATCTCTCACAATATTGAGATTATGACTGAGCATGATGTTGTCTTCTTACCTGTGGAAGCAAATATCCTTCAAAATTCAATTTGAGTAATCATATATAGTGCAGAAATTTCATATGAGTGAGGAAAAATGGAAGTCAAAATGCATCTCCATATCTTCATTAATTCTACTTTAAAATCATAGAGTTTTTTAAGACAGAGAAAGTCATCATTCATCTTTGAAAGCATCTAGCCAAATCTAAAAAATACCTAACATATAGTACATGTGTAGTAACTGCAAATTAAATAAATGTCAATGTTTTTGGCTATTTATGGGATAACAAACAAACAGAATAATAGAAAAGTCTGTCATCAAAAAAATTTGTAACCTTGTGGGGCGATAGGAAATACCTTCTTATTATAATATAAAGGTTGGGTATTCACTGAAGTATGCACGCATTCCTTTATATCAGATTCTGTGGCCATACAGATATCAAGTATCTTTATCTGCACGCTACTGTATGAAGTATTTTATCATATATAAAAAAGGAAAATTGGACTCTATCATAAAAGACACTATGTAATATAGTAGCAGAAATAAAGTCTTCACATTTGATTCCTGTACTATTTTGTTACTTCTCCAATGATGTGAATCATATATATACTGCTTGTATTATAGTTTTCTATTTGATATTAGATCTGAATCTTACAAAATGTGAAAACTTTTGCTGAAGGGGGACTTTAAGTACAAAGAATAAACAAAGCCATGGCAATAGGAAAGCTCCAGGAGTTTGGGAGGTTAGCAGGGAGTTCAACTTGCTGAGAGCTTAAGAAGTATTAGGAAGTATAGTGGAAAAGTGGGTTGGAGTCAAGTTATGGAAGATCTTGAATCTTCAGCTTTGACTTTATTATTTAAGCAACAGTGAACCGTTACAGATTTCTGATCCAGTAAGTGATAGGATCAGCATACCTTCATACAAATGAATATAGTGTTATTGTGCAGAATATGCAGAAGAACTGGATCTGGATGTTTAAAAGAACTGTTGGAAGTCTACTTCAACAGGCCAAGTGTATGGACAAAAAGAACTATAGGGTGGTAACAGTCAACATGAAAGAGGAACATGGATGAAAGATACAGAGCGGGGATTGCAAAATCTGAGGTAGGAAGGAAGTAAGAGGACATACAAGTTCAACTCAAAGGTTTCGGGCTCAGGTAATGAATCATGGATATGCACGATTGAATCTCAGTTGAGAAGTCAGAGTTGGAGATACAAATTTAAGCATCCTCTACACAGAGATGATGATTCAAGGTATGGGAAAGAGGCAGAAAGATGGGATCTGTCAGGGAGCAGGAGGAAGAAGAGGAGCTGCTGGGTGTGGCGGCTCACACCTGTGATCCCAGCAACTCAAGAGGCTGAGGTAGGAGGATCGCTCAAGGCCAGGAATTTGAGACCAGCCTGGGTGATATAGCAAGATCCTATCTCAAAAAAAAGAAGAGAAAAAAATTCAATAAAGAAGAAGAGCCAATGGAGACAGAGCCAGCAATTAGAAAGCCATGAAATATCTCAGAAGCCATAGAAAGAATTTCAACGAAAAGATGGACATAGTTGACAGATGCTATAGAGATGTCAAAGAGAATTCAGATTTAAATAAGACTGCTTAATTTGGTTGGGACAAAAACTATTAATAAATTGCAAAAGATGACCAGGTGTTTCTCTTGCAAGAAAATTTATTAAAGGAAAGAGCAAGAGAATATGGTACCTCAAGGATGCAACAGAGTAAAGGAGGGATTTCCAGTTGAGTGCAGACCTAAGTATCTTGAAGAGAATGGATCAGAAGAGGAACATCAAGAATATAGATGAGTAGAAGTAATTGAAATTGCAATATCCGAAAGAGGGTAAGAGAATAAGCAAGCACAGAGCTGAAGGGTTAATCTTGGCAAGGGTGAAAGAGAAATTTAGGGGAACTTGTGTCAGATGACCTTGATTTCAAGATAAATGGAGTTAAGTTCATTTGTTCACTGATTCTTTCAAAAAGCCTCTAATGTGCCAGGCACCGTTCTAGGCACTGGGGATACAGCAATGAACAAAGGAGACAGAAATCCCTTCCTCTATTAGTTTACATTCCAGTGGGAGGTCAGACAATACACAAAATAAGTAAAATATGGACTATAATGGTGGTAAGTACAATGGAGAAAAATATAAAGTAGGAAAGAGGTATAGAGAGTGTTAAGGAGGATTACAACTTAGCAGAGCGTGGTCAGGAAGGACCTCACTGGGAATGCAATCTCTCTACGTATTTTTGGAGTAATGATGACAGGGTTCTTCCATTGTGATAGGACACTAACCAAGGAACTAGGTTTTTTTTCCTCTGGGAATTAAATCAAGCCCCTTACCCTCTTTGCACAGGTTATCAGATGCTGATCCAGGGTACCTGAATCACTGCTGCTGATCACCGCAACAAAATCATTTGCATTTACACTGAAACAATTTCTACTTCCTTGCTTATAAAGACTACCTGTCAGTTAAGCACAGATAAATGAAGAAAAGAGTCTTATTAGATCTTTTAACTACTTCCAGCATCAACAATGATAGCTCATAGCCCACTTCCCAAGATCCATCCCTCTCCCCACTGAAAAAAAAAAAAAGCATGAGATCTGAAGTGGATGTGGGTTGGGGCTGGTCATGGTGACGGCTCCTTATGGAGAGCCAGTCCCGGTCAGGGGAGAAATGTACACCACGGAGAACAGAAGACATCCTAAGACATCGTGATATCCATTCTCTAATCCCTAAGCCTGAGCATGTAGAATTTACACCAGACAGAAGAGGACCTAAAATTGAACTAATGTTGCTAGAGAAGAGAGTCTATGAGTCTAAAATGTTACTTGGGTTTATATATACAAATCATTTAGTCACAAAAAGCATAATCCTTAACCCGTATTTTACCAGTTTTAACAAGCAGCAATTATGATGAGCGACCAAAAGATTTTCCCCAGGGAAAAGAAAATCCCATGGTCCAGAGAACTTCTACAATTTCTTCCTCCACACTTGGAGTCTTCATGTCTCGTAAAGTTTCTCCACATTAGGCCCGGTAAGTAATAAATGGGAATTTGATGTCAGCCTT